TGACAATATAAAAAAAATATACAAATATTTTTTGGTATTCGGTAATACCGAATTATCGAAGTTTCGATTATAAAAAGTTCGAATACCGAACCGAATTACATGTTCGGAAGTTCCAAATTTTCGATTCCATCGGTTAACGAACTGATGAAGACATAACGTCATATATATGTACATGACAAATTAATACAACCTAGAAAATACTAGAACAATTTGAACTCGAATCATTTGACGGTTTGGACCCCGTACTTTCTTACTCCACCAACTACCCAACCTTATATGGTTCAATAATTCCTCAGGGTGCTCTATAAATAATGTGAAATTCCCTTGCTTTAACTCTCACCACCTTTCTCTCTCTCTCTCTCTCTCTCTCTCTCTCTCTCTCTCTCTCTCTCTCTCTCTAGAAATCATCAATGGCGGCTAACTCGAGTTTGTCATCTCCGATGGACCCTCTCGCGAGAGAGAAAGACGCTAAGGGAATTCAGTTGATCGAAGATATGACCAGAAATGCAGATATCGTACAAAAGAATTTCTTGTCTGAAATCCTGACCCGAAACTCCGACACCGAATATCTCAAGAAATTCAACCTCAACGGAGCCACCGATCAGGAAACATTCAAATCTAAAATCCCGATAATCACTTATGATGATATCGAGCCGTTTGTCCGGCGAATAGCCGACGGCGATCGCTCTCCCATTTTATCTTCTCTCCCCATCTCCGAATTCATTTTCAGGTAACTAACTAACTAACTAACTAACTAACTAACTATATATAATATTATTATTCGAAATTTCGAATAATCGTAGAAATTATAAAATTGAGATAATTTGGTTTATTTACGTTTTGGCCCTCATGCAGTTCCGGAACTTCATCGGGTGAACCGAAGCTCATTCCATCTGGCCGAGAAGAATCGAATCGTCGTCACCTTCTGTTCAGTCTTATGACGTCTATTATCAAATTGTAAGTATACAAAATGAGGGCAAATTAAACTAAAATCAAAATAAAATATTGGACCAAATCTCACGTGATAAGTTAAATTAATTGCGTAGTGTAATATCCTTCTATGTTATTTTTCTTGCACGAAATTTACTTTTTTCGTTAATAAGCCATTAATTGTAAGAAGGAATTTCATGCACGTTTATTGTAACAAAGGGAAATTTGGTATATATATTTTTTTACAATACAATGACAATTTATTTCAGGAATGATTTAGAAGAGTGAAAGTCAGAATAAAATTTAAATTTTTCGGATTTAAAAAATTAATTTTACAACGAATTTTTTTTCTTTCACATTTTGATTTTTAAAATATTTGTTTACGAGTTTTTTTCCGAGAACTAAAAAGACATCGATATAGAAAGTGCACAAAGTATTCCGAGATTCCGATTTTCAATCTGATTTGAATCTATGAATAAATTTAAACAAATGCTTTTTTTTTTTTTCCCAAAATATATTTATATTTAAAGAATTGAAATACGATAAAGAAGATTTAACGGGGAAAAAAAGAGTGAAATAATGGGAGAAGTTTACTCGATCACATGGTTTTTGTGCTGCTTTTGAAAAAAAATGCATGATGAGTGCAAATATATATATATACTACTTTCTATGCAATAGGCACGTGAATGGAGTAGACAAAGGGAAAGGACTTCACTTCTGGTTTACGAAAGCCGACATAAAGACGAAGGGCGGAATCCCGGCCCGATCCGCGACAACAAGCTTGTTCAAGGGCGATCTTTTCAAGACCCGACCCTACCCGCATAACATGTGCACAAGTCCCAATGAGGCCGTCTATTGTCTCGACACGTACCAAAGCACGTACGCTCAACTCCTTTGTGGTCTCTACGAACGCGAACATATCATGCGGGTCGGGGCGATATTCGCTTCGGGCCTCCTCTCGGTCATCAAGTTCCTCAAGCTCAATTGGGAGCAACTCGCCCACGACATCCGAACCGGGTCGCTCAACCTGAAAATAACCGACCCGCCTCTCCGCGAGTGCATGACCCGTATCGTTCGACCCGACCCGGAATTGGCCGACCTTATCGCCCGCGAGTGTGCGAATGGCGATAATTGGGAGGGGATCATCACTCGGATTTGGCCGAATACGAAACTTTTAGAGATGATTGTGACCGGCACAATGGCACAATACATCCCTACTCTCGACCACTATAGCGGTGGGTTGCCTAAGGTGTCCATGCTCTACGGAGCTTCCGAATGCTTCTTTGGGCTCAATCTCGATCCCATGTGCGACCCGTCCGAAGTGTCGTACACCATCATGCCCAACATGGCGTACTTTGAGTTCTCGCCGCTCGAATCGGAACCCGACTCGCCCGGTCAACTCGTCGATTTAGTGGACGTCGAAATCGGCAAGGAATACGAAGTGGTGATCACAAATTCCTCCGGATTGTACCGGTACCGGATGGGGGACGTTCTTAAAGTCACCGGTTTCCACCACAAGTCGCCGAAACTACAATTCGTCAGGCGGAAAAACATGCTTCTCAATATCGATTGGGAGAAGACGAACGAGGTCGATCTTCAGGAGGCGGTAGGGCATGCGGCCAAATTGCTCCGAGAATTCGGCACGAGCGTGGTGGATTACACAAGCTATGCCGACACGTCGACCATACCGGGTCACTACGTGATATATTGGGAGTTACAAGCCCCGTTAAAGGAGGACTCGTGTGAGAAGGTGATTGAGCAATGTTGCATTGCAATGGAGGAGTCGCTCAACCCAATTTACCGGTTACTACGGGTCGACGGGTCGATCGGACCGTTGGAGATCCGAGTTGTGAAAAGTGGGACGTTTGAAGAACTAATGAACTATGCTATCTCGAAGGGTGGTTCGATCGGTCAATACAAGGTGCCTCGATGCGTTAGCTTCAAGCCGATAGTGGATATACTTGATTCGCGAGTTCTCGCAACGAGCTTTAGCACATCGTTGCCAAAATCGACGCGAGAGTGATATTTCTCGAAAGGGAAAAAGTACAATTCAAGAATGACTGAAATACCAAAGCCAATGAAGAATGCATGTTGTTTTTTTTCTTTAAAAATAAAATTTGTAGTTCACTTTGTAACAAAATAAACATGGCGTTGTATGAGTTATAAAAATAATGAGTAATAAAATTATTATATCGAGTACTTTCATATGTACTAGTTATTGATATATTTACGTAGATCAACTTACACATGCGTATAGTTATTGATGTATAGTTTTGTACAAACTTGGACTGATTTCCTACTCATACTTTCTTCTTCGTATAAAAAATTAGTGAAGGTTGTTTGATATTAATTGAAGGGTAAATGGCAAATAGAGGGCATTTAAATATTTAATTAAAAAAAGGCATCCAACTTTTTTGTCTCTTAAATAAATCCATCTCATTCAAATTTATTTACAAATAAAGAAAACCTCTTTTATATATACCAAAATTACCCTCAATTTCTTGAAACCCTAATTCAACTCAAATTTCATGATTTACACCTCAATTTAGCCTAATTTTACCAATTAACCAATTTTGACCAGCCACCGCCGGAGCCCGCTGGTCTCCGGCGTTGGCGTTTAATTTTTTCTTTTTTTTAACTTTTTTTTTTTCTGAATTTTTTTTAACCGCGTTTGTTCTTTTCAAATTAATATTATTGTCTGAGACAGTAATTTTAACTGTTTTGGTATTCAATATTACTATTTTAGACAACAATTTTGTTGTTAACACAGTAATTTAGAGAGAAGAAAAAAGTCAACGCCCTAGACCGGCAGTTGACCTGCCGGAAAAAAAACATTAGAAAAAAAGGTTTTCAAAAAAAAAAATTAAATAAATAAAGTCAACGTCGGAATCTGGCCGGCAAAAAAAATTATTTTCTAAACAAAAAATTATTTTTTTCAAAAAATTATGAAAATGGGGGTTAGTGTAATATATTTGTTTAAATTAGGGGTCAATGTGTAATATTGAGGAAGTTAGAGCATAATGGATGAATTGATAAAAATTATATTATGGAGGGAATTTTAGACAAAAGACATGAGTATGGGTTTATTTGCAAGACTGATTTTTGTATGGACCCATGTGCATTTAAGTCCCTTATCATGAGTCTCTTTGCCATTCACCCAATTGAACCTCGTCGAAATTGGACAAACTATTAGTTGAAAGCTGCAGCAACTAGACACGACCACGGGGCGGGTCGGGTCCGACTTTTAGGGGACACGAAACCGACCTGTGGGAAGGGCGAGTCCGGGTCCGGGGCGGGTCCACCCGGGTCCAAGTCGGGTCCGTGTCCAAACCAGTTTTCGAATATTTTTTTTCCAAATAATTACAAGAAAAAAAATAAAATTAAATTGAACTTGAAAAAACTTAAGATTAAGTTTAAATTCAAAACTACAAAAAATTAAAAAAAATTGAATTTAAACACTAAACAATTTTAGAAAAAAATGAAACAGTTAAGAGCTTGAGACATAAACTAAATAAAATGAAAGTTGTGAAGATTGGATTATGGGTATTTATAAGTGAAAATAATAATTGAGAATTTTTTTTTAAAAAATCAAAATTAAAAAAAAAAAACAAATCAAAATTCAATCTTTCTTTTAAATTAAATCGTATTTTTTTTATATTTTTCAAAATTAAATATATATGCATTTATTACTAGTGGAGATTTTTAATACGGATAATTAGTGAAAATCCCCAAGTCTTTTACTTATACTATGTTGCATCCAACCCCTTTTGTATTATTAGTCACTAGCATTTTTTACCCGTGCGATGCACGGGATATTATTTCAAAAGTGAAAAAAAAAATCAATTTAATACATAATAAGAAAATATCGTACACTAACATAGTAAAATTTAATAATTTAGTATTATCATATTTTATATAACATTGGTTTTTTTAAATCTTGGATATTAAGATTTATAATCCAAGTATGTAGATTAAGATTTAAAAAATCATTTTTCTATCTTTATCTTTTAAGATTTGAGATATATTGATGAAAAATCGGAGATGGATAACTGTTAAAAATTATAGTTAGAAATTAGTAGAGAAAAAATATTAAAAATAAATAATTACAGAAATATCATTAGTTTTTTAGGGTTGCCCAACATTTCTTTCTTGGGATAATTAGTGAAAGCCCCCCAATACATTTGATTATATTAGGATGGATATAACCTCATTTTACATATTAGTGAGAAGCCCCTTATTTTATATTTTAATTTAACATAAATTCAAAATTTAAGTGGTATGTCTATATTAGCCTTAATTAGTTATCATATAAAATCACCAAATCCTCTTTCTCTTCTTCATCTCATTTTTCTCTCCAGTAGCCACCACCTCTCTCTCGTTTCTATCCCCAACACCAAACCAGATCTCATATGCCCACCGCCACCCTCCGTCAACCGCCGTCGTCACTGCCCTCCGTCCACCGCCGTCGTCGCTGCCCTCCATCCACCGCCGTCCTCACCGCCCGACGGTGCGGCCCTCATTATTCCTTTACTCTTTTTGAGTCTCTCCAAATACCAGAAGCCGTTATTCAGTAGGCAACAATCGCTCTCCGATTGCCTCGAGTCGCGGCTCTTGCCGATTCATTAAGCCCGAGGATGAAACCGGTAATAAAAAACTCATCGAAGCAAAGCAGTTAATTCATCCTATCTTTTGCCAATTTTAGATCGAATTTTCAGATTCAGTTCAGATCTGTATTCATGATTTTTGATAAAAATGTGGTTTGTAGTTGATTTTCGATATATTGTAGAGTGTAGTTGATTTTTTATATTAATTTTCTCTGAAGTCATTTTAGGTATCCACAGCGGCGATCTGATGTGGCAGAGTGATAATTGACGGTTGACGCAAGGGATTTGCGTTCTTTCTTCACCTGAGAGTCATTGGCATGTAGAAGTTGGGGAGTGGTTGAGACGGTGGCAATGGAACAAATCACCCTCACAACCTTCGGATTCAACACATGGTCGGTGGAGATATAGCCCTTTCTCAATGGATATGAGACTGTAATGTCCAATATCTGGATTGAACTATAGTTGTTTAATCTCTTAAATTGAGATTTTTTTATTTTATAGTTGATTTAGATAAATTATAGTTGTTTTCGATTTTTATAGTTGGTTTAGATAATTTTAAAGTTGATTTGATAATTTTTTAGTTGATTTCAATTTGTTATGGTTGATTTTCGTTAATTTGTAGTTGATATAATTTTAATAAACCTGCTATTAAAAATAACTATTTTTTGTGATTGTTGGTTCGAGAAATAAACGAACAAAAACAATAGTTGTTTTCAGTAATCTATAGTTGATTCTGGATATAGTCGATTTCGAAAATAGTTGATTTCGGAAATAGTTGATTTTGGAAATAGTTGATTTCGGAAATAGTTAATTCCGAAAATTTTATAGCTATTTTCGTATAATTGATATGAAAACAAATAACTGGAAAATAAAAATAATATAAAATTGAAAAAAATATTTTTTTTTAAAGTTTTTAAATATATAAACGAATATTATAATTAAACGAGAAAAAAAATGAAATAAATATTAAAGTAGTGGAGAGTGAATAGTAAGGAAGGGTAAATTTGAGAATTAAAAAAAGTTGGACCTATCACTAATAAAGGAAATGGGGTTGGATCCATATTTATTAAAAAATGCTAGAGGGGGTTCTCACTAATAGCCCCTTCTTTCTTTTATATATAAGATACCCCCTCACTTGTCATTTAAGATTAATATTTTAATAAAATCTTATACGATAAGGACTATTTTACCCCAAACTTATAATTTACTTATATTATTTCACATTTATTATTTC